AATATATTCTGCTCTTGCTTCAACATCCAGATATTTATCTCTATGTCTTCCTTTGCTAAGATATCCAAGTATGTGTATCTTATCTCTTCCCTTTGCTAAGACATCCAAGTATGTGTATCTATTTCTTCCCCTTGCTAAGACACCCAAGTATTTATCTCTATATCTTCCCCTTACTGAGATATGAAGGTATTTATCTCTTTATCTTCCCTTTGCTAAGATATCCAGGTATGTATCTCTGTTTTCCTCTTGCTAAGACATCTGGGTATTTATATTTATGTTTTTCCCTTGCTAAACTATCTAGGTGTTTATCTCTATGTTTTCCCCTTGCTAAACTATCCAGGTGTTTATATCTTCCCCTTGCTAAGATATCCAGGTATGTATACCTTCCCCTTACTAAGATATCCATGTATTTATCTCTGTATCTTTCCCTTACTAAGACATCCAGGGATTTATCTCTATATCTTCCCCTTACTAAGATATCCAGGTATTTATCTTTGTTTTCCTCTTGCTAGGACATCTGGGTATTTATATTGATGTCTCTCCCTTGCTAAACTATCCAGGTGTTTATCTCTATATCTTCCCCTTGCTAAGACATCCATGTGTTTATCTCTATGTCTTTCCCTTGCTAAGACATCCAGGTGTTTATCTCTATGTCTTCCCCTTGCTAAGACATCCAGGTGTCAATCTCTATGTCTTCCCCTTTCTAAACTATTAAAGTGTTTATTGCTATGTCTTCCGCTTGCTCTTTTCCCATAAAGTTGACAAGCTGACATTACATTATTTTTTTTAAATAACAAACCCAAAACAATATACTCTCTACATCTATTACAAACAGCTAGACACATCTATACAAGAGTAATTAAAATGAAGACTATTAGAATTAAAATACAAACTGCAAATTACACATACTGAAAAAATGAGCACATTCATCTGTACATTGGTTTTTTTATATTTATCCAACATAAAAGTAAACAAAATGAAACAATAACAAACATTTTAAAAAGATGACACACTGGTTTGGTTTTTATTTTAAAGTCATACCAGGTAACATAACTATGTCAGCATCATTATACACATGCCCGATGAAACAGAGGAAAAGGTTTAAAACACACTGAACCCTGAAGCAAAGAAGAGGGTGAGTTTAAAAGAAAGAAAAAAAAGTCATTCTAGAAGGCTTAAACGATAATAAACAACTTAAGCTCTTGTTGGCACTGTTAATCTCAAAACTGTAGGAGTGTCTACTTTTGGCATTCTAATGCCATTCTTATAAAAGTGCAGGTCATCTGCAGCTGCTTCATGGATCTATAAAGTTAGTTACACATAAGACATCAAAGAAACATTGAATATCTTCTTTTTCTGCACTCGTCCTTAAAGGATGGTTAGCACACTGTGCTGTGGTGTCCTTAAAGGGTGGTTAGCACACTGTGCTGTGGTTCAAAGCTAGGCTACAATATCTATACCTTTTTGCTTAACAGAAAAGTTTGTTAACTCTTAATTAGTCACCTTTTAATACATGCTCTGTAAGAGAGCAGTGTGGCTTTTCCTTTTCCCCTTTAAAGTGCCCCTGAACCCATACAGAATATAACAAAGAAGAGAAACTTTGAAAATAATAAAAAGAGAAACCTTGAATATAACAAAGAAGAGAAACCCTGAATATAACCAAAAGAGAAACCTTGAAAACAACAAAGAAGAGAAACAGTGAATATAACAAGAGAAATCTTGAATATAACAAAGAAGACAAATCTTGATATTAACAAAGAAGAGAAACCTTGAATATAACAAAGAAGAGAAACCTTAAATATAACAAAGAAGAGAAACCTTGAATATAACAAAGAAGAGAAACCTTGAATATAACAAAGAAGAGAAACCTTGAATATAACAAAGAAGAGAAACCTTGAATTTAACAAAGAAGAGAAACCTTGAATATAACAAAGAGAAACCTTAATTATAACAAAGAAGAGAAACCTTGAATATAACAAAGAAGAGTAGGGAGAGAGAAATGAGGGAGAAGTAAACAGGGAGAGGATGAAAGTGCCAAGATGGATACACTAGCAGTTAGGATACCAAGATGACAAAATTAACAAAATGCCTGGATTTCATGTCTGTCTCCTTAACAGTCATCATCAACTGACAAATAAACACAGGTTACAATAAATATTACATATTTTAAACAGAAGTAAATGGTTCATGCCTTAAACTGGTAAGCACAACTGTTTACAATATTTTATTTTTTAAATAACAGATGATAATAATATTTACATAAGTAAAGCAAGTATTGAGTGTTTTCCATGCTTCCAGGTAATCTGAGTATATGGGACCATCCTCAATAGCTTCAGACAGAACTTAACACTCAATGGACAATATGGTAAAAAGTATGCTGGCTACTTTCCAAAACATTTCCTGGTATCCGGTTTAGGTTGGGTTAAGCTTAAGTCTCTGAAGTCTAGGTCAGCTTTTAAATAATACCTACCTTAATGTGGACTTAAACATGCGACCACCAGGTCAGCAGACGTGTTGCTACACAGTGAGCTACCCATGTTCCTAATGTCTACACAGTTGTTGCCAAAATTACTAACATCTCCCTGTGGGTTCTGAGGTCCTGTTTTGGGCGAAAAAAGACTAGACCTACTGCCCCCCTAACAAGATTGTTATAAAATGTGGCCGACTAGGGGTGTTTTCTTCAAAGTCTGAGTGCATCTCCCTTAAAGAACTAACAGTCTGCACATAAATAAGCCTGATCTGTAATACACATGTGAAGGCCCCCCCCCCCCCCCCCCAAAAAAAAAAACCAGTTCTGGAACAAGACTAAAGTCCAGTAATGTACGAAAAACCAGAACTTTCCACAGGTGTTAACAGCCACTGAACGTGAGGAAGAAGACGAGCAGTTTTTCCTATGTGGGTTCCAGAACAAAAATAAGAACAGACTCACTGTACCCCTCGACTAACAAGCATGCTGTAATAGATGAGTAAGTAGAGGTCTGTTGAAATCAAATGTGGTGAGTCAAAAGTCGCAGATATTACCGCCTTGCTGTAAACTGTAACACAACAAGCTAACCACTCTTTTAAGGGTAAACATAGAAAAGAAAAAGAAAACTGACAGTTTCAAGACATCTTTCCAATGTCTAGTAAATAAACATGTATTTGAAAGAAAAAATGCAAATGGAGAGTTAAAGAAGACATGTGTTCCAAAATACAAGATGCAGAACCCAGGGGTTATCCATAACGAACATGGAGTGCAGATCTAGATCAGGAGAAAACAGAAGTGTTGGAATGCAATTACATCAGAAATAGAGAAATCAAAATTGCCATGAGTGAATGTGGACTGGCACCTGAGACAACAGATCACGTCCTCCAAGACTGTCCCAGATACAATATATCAAAGCAAAACTTTGGCCAAGAAAAACATTGGTGCAAGTCAAACTTTACAGGTCGCTGATTGAATTACAATAGACAGTGAAGTTCATACATTGCAGATGTAGATAATCTATTATAAGCGAATAAAAGAAGAAGAAGAAGAAGAAGAAGAAGAAGAGAAAAAAAAAATGGAAACACTGTTTGTGCTTAAGTCTTACAGGCTCAGTGAGATGAAGAAGGAAAAATCACATTACATTCTTCTTCTTTGTTCCTCCTACGAGGTGTAGGCATTACATCTTGTTATGCACTTCAGAGGGCAGTGTGTCTGAATTTAGCATGCACTTATGCAACGTTAATTTCTACTAGATTCCATCCAAGGCTATAGGGTCCATCTATTGATGCAGATTTTCATTCCTAACACATAACAATTTTGTCAAGACCATGGCCTGGTGTCTGCAATTTTCAACTGCCATGGGACTGTTCACTCTCTAAGTCTCAAATAATGCACCACTTGTGAATGGATTTACTCAAACACTACCCAGCCAACACATTATTCCGCTTGTACATTCGATATTTAGTCAAGGCATGCTAAAATACCCTACAGCATATTTGTCCCCCCCCCCCCCCCCACCCCCCAAGGGAAGCGAATGTGGGCCTAGTGGATGTAATACACCCATTATTTTGTTGATGTCCCAAGTGACTCACTGGAGCATCAAATGTGACCTACTGGGATGGAAAGAGTTAACTTTAGTTGCTTTTACGGCAGGTATGTTAGGTTAAGTGTCTTGTTTCAAAACCTGTCTCAGGAATATATGGACAAAACAAAGAAAGACACAAGTTTGTAATACTCAAACAGCTAAACAAAATATTCAAGCACAATTTAAAGCATTAGAAACTGACACACTAAAAGATGCCATAAAATGCCTTGGAAAGTGCATATGTGTGTGTGTGTGTGTGAAGCAGAATATGGACCACTACATGGCTTGATTTTGTTGTTGTTGCATCTAGTGTTATACTAATTCTCTCTCTCTCTCTCTCCCCCCCCCCCTTCCAATCCAGAGGCAGACATACATTCTCTCTCTCTCTCTCTCTCTCTCTCTCTCTCTCTCTCTCTCTCTCTCTCTCTCTCTCTGTGTGTATTTGATGCTAAGGTTTTGTAAATTTTTAATAAAAGATGAAGTTGTTGTTCACTACTGAAAACCATTTGTGACCTTATATTAGGGTTTTTAAAAAAAAAAAGCTGTTGTGTTCATGCTAAATACAATTCTTTACACAATTGTTTTACACTGTAGAAAAGCAGTAATAACACACTACACCAGAAATACCATTAAAATTGACTACATAGTTCTTCTAGAAGTTACAGGTGACAATAATAATGCTCAATATAACATCTTAAAAACTTACAACAGCATATATTATGACTAAAATTACATTCAGTGTTTACGCTTAAAAAAAATTTACATAATAATGCTCAATATTAAATTTTAAAAACTTAAAGACAACAAATATTACAACTATATTCTGTGTTAACACTTAAAAAATTACATAATTACAGCATTATTCAATATTAACAGTAACATAAAAGATAAGTGAAGAATAATCAATATTGCACTTCTGCACCAATTACCCTTTCCCACAGAGATTCTTTAAAAGTGTGGCAAGCAAACTTTGCTGGCAAAAAGCTGGGAGACGACTGTAATCCAAAGCGCCAGAACAAAGAAAATGTACGAGATCCCGACTCTGTAGTTATTTGGGAGTTGATAAGCTTCACCTCCAATCTGATCCATGTCAAAGCCGATGGGGAAAATGACGGCCGCCAGACAAAACAGAATCACTGTGGAATTATAACTGTGATGTCAGCATTTACAGAGTCAAATCTGAAGAATCATTTTTTTTTTCTTTGCAATCATTTTCTAACTGAGAGAAGCGTACCTGTTTGTATCTGTGTGTGTCTGCATGTGTGTCTACATGTGTGTGTGTTTGTCTGTCTGCTTGCCTACTAAGCATACCTATATTTGTATTGATTAATCAGTCTCAATGCAAGATGTGGTCAAATCACACTTACTAGTATCAATTTAAAAACCAGGTTGGCAAATGCTCCACACACACACAAAACTATGGAAAAAAAAAAGACTCTTTCAGTACCAAAAGTTTGTCAGAAAATCCTACAGGAAGAGGAGTTGATTATGGTTAAAAAAAAAAAAATCAGGTGTGATCTGCTTCTGAAGAGATCAAATAGACAATGAAGTGAATTATGAAGAATCCAGATTTTCTTAGAACGTTGTGACCAAATATAAAAAGTAAAAGGACGATGCAGTGATTGGAATTTTCAGGAAATAGTGAATGATACATTACATCTGCTGGGACTTGAAAAGTCCTGAAAAAAGTATTCCTTCCCTCCTTCCCAGAATTTACTCCAGTGGAAAGTTCTGGTTCTATGTGCACTTATGGGCTTTGGTCTTGTTCCAGAATTTGAGTTGTGCATGCACATCCACTTTACAGATTTAGCTTATTTGTATGCAGACTGCTGGTTCCTTGTCACTCAAGGCGGATGTTCTCCAACTTTAAAGGAAACACTCCTAATGCCTCATATGACATGCTTGTTAGGAAAGCAGTAATTTTTTCCCCCCCAAAAAGGGCCCCTGGAATCCAAGCAGAAAGTAAAAGTATTCAAAACAAATACCATAAAGAAAGAAAACCAAACATTAATACGAAAATGTATTACTTGCTACAAATCCCAGCCATCGAGCAAATTTCATGACTCGATATTCCCAGTATGACAGAGCCAGCAGCACAATGGTCACGCTGATGCAAATAATTCCAAGCACAATACAGATAAAGGTCAGCAACCATTCTCCTCGCACTGGACTTGGCATAAAACAGATAGATGGCCGTCCATATATTGTCAGACATGTTTTTAACAAACCAATGTTTGTGTCACCTGCAAAGAAGATTAGAGGTGCAAGTGAGAAAATGTGTTTGGTGGTGCACATAATTAAACTAGTAACAAAGTTAAATAACTCGTGAAATCAGAACCAAAATTAATAAAATAAATTTGACGACAGCTCACAACAATTAGGTCTAAAAATCCATAAGGGAAAGACAAAGATAACTGGAATAAATCATTCAAACAATAATCCAATTTAGGCAGTAAAGCAGATAAAGACGGGTAACAAAAGACAAAGACTTTTTTTCATAGGGAATCTGTGGAAGTCAAAGGAAATTAAAACCAGTACCAAATGTAACATATTTAACTCTCATGTCAAATCAATACTACTACAGGCAGCAGAAACACACACAAAAACAACTAATAATAATTACTAATGAACTATAAAAACATTTAATAACTTGTGCCTTCACAGAAGAAAAAAAATCAAATGATTGACAGAATCACTAATTTGGAGTTTTGAGAAAGAACTAAACAAATTTGATTTTGAATGTTGAATGCTGAATTAAGAATTGACATCACAGCACTCAGGACACTCCCATAAGTGCTCCCTCCCCATCTTCAGCAGCAAACAAAGAGTTCCAATTCCAAAAAAGCCTCATCATGATGTGAGGAAAAGTTGTTGGTAATGCATAGGGCTCATAATGAGAAAATCTGTTGACAATGTAATTAGATTGCCCGTGCACTGGAATCTACAGGGCCAAAGATTTTATTTTTAAACGGTGGGGAGGACAAACGAAGAAAAGCCCTGGAGATAACATTTAGAGACTGGGGTGAATAAGGTGGAGGGGCTCTGGTGAGATGCACACAATGGCACCTCAGTACAATAGAGGTGAGGGTCTAAGTTCAGTCTGAGGATAAAGAAGAGAAGATCAAGACTTAAACAGAAGGCACAAAATACAATACATGTAAAAATCACTAATATTATATATTAACATTTATAATGGTAAAAGTGAACTCTGAGAGGAGGGAAGCCCAGTGGAGCTAGTACTTTGGTACATGACCAAGTGAACTCTGAGAGGAGGGGAGCCCAGTGGAGCTAGTACTTTGGTACATGACCAAGTGAACTCTGAGAGGAGGGGAGCCCAGTGGAGCTAGTACTTTGGTACATGACCACACGTAGTATTTGTGAACAAAGAGGAAGAATATAACCAAGGCACAGTTAATATGCTTTTTCTCTCCTATGAGGTGAACAGAGACAATCTACATTCTTTGGTCATGCCATGAGACAGACAGGGAGAAAACCAGAGTACATCGTGATGGTGGGAAGGCTAGAGGAAAAAAAGAGGCAGAGTGAGACCAAGAAAGAAGATGCTGGACGGTTTGACATCATGGCATGGAAGATCCTTTTGTGTCAGAAATGACAGAAAGTACACAAGACAGAAGGTTGTGGATACACATCCTGTACCAACAACAGACTGCATGGCTAGAAAAAAGAAGAAGGATGAGGAGGAAGAGTGAGGGGGGAGGAGGAGGAGAAGAAGAGGTGAACAATTTGTGGTATTTTGTGCAGGTTCATGTAAAAAAGTCAACAATATGCTTTTTATTCCATAGATAATAATCTTATACATGTACGTGTTACCATGTATTACAGTGACTCATAAAGAACAGTAAACATACACTGATTACTATAAGAGGAAGGTTGGTGTGAGACAAGCTACCTATGCCATAGAGAACCAGGGATTTTTTTCAAGAAAAAAAGGTGCCGGTACTCAGAACAAAATGTCTAAAAAATGTGCCAGTAATCATCACAAAATGTCTATTACCATAGCACTGAAAAACTTAAGCTTTTAAAAAAAAATGTGTAGCTGATACTGTGCACCATTGCGCACTGCCAGAAAAAGAAACCCTGCAGAGAACTGTCTTTTTCTTTGCATTCATCAGCTGTAAACTCTGGCAGAAAGTTCTAGCTGTTCATCCACTTCTGGACTAAGTCTTGTTTCAGAATTTGAGTTTTGCAGATCTGGCTTATCTGTACGCAAACTGCTGGTTCACTGCATAAACCCTTAATAAGTCGATTCTTTAGACACGCTTGTTAGAGAGGCAATAGGTAGAACTAATTGTAAAACTAAAAAATCGGGAATACGTCTCATTAAGGTAACTTTGTTGAGGCTCTTTCATCCATAGGGATATGGTAAGCAAATAGAGAACAGGAAGAGGAAGATTAGGAGGAAGAGGAAGATTCGAGAAAAGAAAGAAGATCTGGAGGAGGAGGAAGATTATACATAATAATCAAATAGACATGTACTGATCAGCTCTCTCCCTGTGCAGGTTCTGGGCCCCTTGGTAGGATGGGGTGGGAGTAGGGGAGGCAGATCCAATGTCCCTAACAAGGATGTCGAAAGAGCTGTAATTAGGGATGTTTCCTTTTAAGAAGCAGCGCATCTTCCTGAGGTGAGGAAACAAATGTCTGCATAAAAGTAAGCCAGATTTGTAAAACGGATGTGGACGTAAAATTCAGATTCTGAAACAAGACATAAGTCCAGAGGTGGATGAACAACTAGAACTTTTCGCCAGAGTTTACAGCTGGTGAATACAAAAAAAAAGAAGAAAAAGATCAGCACTCACAGAAAGAAGTTAAAAGGTTTAGAGGATTAGAGGATTAGAAAAGAGGAGGAGGAGAAGAAGAAAAATAAGGAAGAAGGATTAACAAAAGTTCATTACCCTACTTACTTACCTCCTATTTCTGACACAATCCAATGAGGCATAGCTAAACTGACAACAGCAAACACGTCTGCTGCAAAGAACAGAGCTCCCGATATGATTGACAGCTTATCCATAACTGCTGCAGTATCAGTGATAGTTAGTTAACATAAGTCACAGGCTGATAAATCAGTTACTGGCGCAGAGTGTCCAAATATGATTGTTCAAGAGCAGCACAATAATCCCTGTCACTGAAATAATGGACCAGTCTGGCAAGTCCCTAAGGGTAAAACAAAACAAAATCAACCCCTTTTTCTTGGTGGAAAATATCACACCTGGTTTATTCTGTTTTTCTGCTCAGTAAATTATCGAATTTGGCTCATTTACACAGATAAGCGGAGTTCAGGAATCCACATGCACGCCTAAATCAATCAAAAGTGAAGCTAAGGACCCTTTTTACACCAGTGTTGAATGTTGAATTAGAAATCAACATCCTAGCACTCTGGACACTTCCATATGCGCTCTGTCCCCATCTTCAGCAGAAAAAAAGAGTTCCAGTTTGACATTACCAGTAACCGTCTGACTGTACATTCGTCTCGCCCTTCCCTTAAGTGTTGAGCATCGTCAGATCCCCTGGTAACTCCTTGGAGCACCATTCTCCTCAGACCATAATGAACTATTTGTGCCTCCGCACTGTTTACTCGCTCCCAAAGGGCCCTCACAACATCTAGTTTGTCATACATCAATTCACCACCAAGTGGTGCACAACCGGCCAGTCTATCTGCCTGATTGTTTCTCAACACACTAATATAACCTGGAGAAAATATCTTTTTTTACAACAATGATGCATCAGACGTATGTGCTAGACTCACATTTGTAAAGATCTTCTTCTTCTTTTGTCGTCTCACTGTTACCAGGTTGTAACCCAGTGTCTTGGTTTTCTGTATTTGTCTTGTGCTTCTCAGGTGGCTTGAATGATGGATTTGTTCATCTTTTTGCAGGTTTCATCATCACCATTTATCCATCTCTTTCTTGGTCTTCCTCTCAACTTCCTCCCAGATGTTCTACCATAAAAAGTCTTATATGCAGTCTGGTCTGGCCACATTCTGACCAGATGACCAAACCATTTCATTCTTTGTCTGTCAATATAATCCAGACAAGGTCTTATTCCAACTTTCTCTCTAATGCTGGTATTGGTAGCGCTGTTTCGTATAGTGTTGTCAGTGACCTTGCGGAGAGAGTGCATTTCACATGTGGTTATCCCCCGTGTGGGTTCCGGGGCCCCATTGTGGGGAAAACAAGAACAGACCCACTGCCTCCCCAAAAGCATGTCGTAAGAGTCGATTAATTGGGGAGCTTCCTTTGAAGTCAGAGTGCATCTGCTGGAGAGGCAAGGAACCAACAGTCTGTATTCAAGAGAATGAGATCTGTAAAACTGATGCACACGCAACACTCAGGTTCTGGAGCAGGACTGCAGTTCAGAAGTGGACGAGCAACCAGAACCTTCCGCCAGAGTTTACAGCTGGTGAATGCAAAGAAGAAGAAGAAGACATGTGGTAATTTTCTGTTCTAGTGCCCTATTCATTGTCCATGTTTGGCACTAATAACATAAAGTAGGAATAAAGATGCTATTAATCATTTGCTGTTTTGCTGGAAGGGAGACATATGGGTGTCTAAGCAGTGGGGCTAACTGGTAGGTGACAGCATTTGCATTTTGTGCTCTGGCTTCTATTTGTCTTTCGATTCTGTCATCCTCTGTAAATATGCTTCCTAAATATCTGAATTCTTGTACTTGTTTGATTGTAGTACCATTAACATGAACGTCCATGATATTATATTTCCTGCCTTTCCTCATCACCTCAGTTTTCGTGGTGTTTATTCTCATGTCATACTTTGTGCAGGCTTGATGAAAGGAGTCAATATGGTGTTGAAAATTCTGTTGTTGGTGGTGTATTAGACACTGATCATTTGCAAAAAGAAGTTTGTAAAGACCAACTGCAATTAATGTGCAATGGGGTCTACATCATACTGGTTGTCTTGACTCCCAGGACATCACCCTGTACACATTTTAGGCATGGCTGACTTATGAGCCAAGGTTAATTTTGAAACAATCCAGCTCAACATGGAATTGAATCCTAGACCTTCAGGTCAGCAAGCGAGCATCTAGCCACTATGCTATGGTGAGTAAAATGTCATGTATGGCCCATTCACAGAGATAAGTGAAGTTTGTATCGATAGGGAGGTTATTCACAAATCTGAGATGCTCATTATGATGCTTTGACTATTTCATTGCCTCATTTTTTCCCTGTACAGATTCAATCTTTTTTTTTTTAAAACTGAAACTCAAAATACAATAAAAGTATCCACGTGTGGGTTCCAGAGCCCCATCGTGGGGAAAACAAGAACAGACCCACTGCCTCCCCAAAACACATGTCGTAAGAGTCAACTAATTGCATGTTTCCTTCTAGGTCAGACTGCACCTGCCTGAGAGGCAAGGAACCAATAGTCTGCATACAAATAAGTCAGATCTGTAAAACAGATGTGGATACAACACTCAGGTTCTGTAACAAGTCTAAAGTCCAGAGATGGATGAACAATCAGAACTTTCCGCCAGTGAACATTAAGAAAAAGATTATGAAGACCATAAAAGTAATATTTATTATTATTATTATCACCATGATCTAGAAAGTCATTTAAAAAACATGTAATTTCCCTCTAGGATTGCTTACTGAGAGATTAACAACAAATGACCCAAGCAGACACTATTCAGATAAGAATCTAACAGGTGCACATTCCAGAAAAACCACTTAACTGTACAACACAATTAAATAAGGGCACCCGACGGTTATGACATAATCTCTAGTCCAGTTTGTATGTGGATGGGGCTGTGTGCAGAAAGTCCTTTACAGAATGTTGCTTTCATAACCAACTACCCTGAAGACTCAATCCCGTGCCAGTTTCTAGGTCTATTGCATTATCAAGCCCATAGTGTCTGTAATGTCCTTTTTCTACCATCATATTGGTCAGTCCTTTGCCTCATCATTGCCCAGAAACCATGCCAACCATTTTAGTTCTTTATAAACCAATCCACTGCTGGAAATGGCTAAACTATTTTGTGTATTATGGGATACATGGTTTACAAGCCAGTTTTCTTTGACATTCATAATTGTAAGAATGTCAGTATAATTTTTGTTGATTTACAACAGGGCTATTTAGCTAAGTTTACTCCGGAGGAAAAATTGCATAAAAAAGGGCACCATGGCAGGCCGCCATTTGAACAGCCCTGATTTACAACACGCTGGCAATTTTTTGGTAATATTTCAGTTCAACTTAACTGATTTTTTGGTGGCTTCAATGATCCACATGCTGCCATAGGAAAGATGCATATATGGTTTAAACCCTATATCGCTGTGATCACTCTTTCTGACTGCCTTTAAACATACTTCTTCTTCAGCATTCCGAGCTCTTGAGGTTCACTGCTGTAGATATCACCTGCTTCCATTCATCCCTCTGGTTGGCCTTCTCTTTCAAGTTGGTGGCACCAAGTATCTGCAATCAGCTCCCTTGTGTGTACAGTTTTTAAATTTCCATCATCTGACATTCTCTCAATATGCCCCAGCAATTTCAGTCAATTAGCTCTCATGATGCCAATGATCAATGGTTATTTAAACGCATTTTGAATTTAATTGTTACTTCTCACCCTCCATTCCCCGCAGCTAGCATCTTTGATGACTCCAAAGATTCAACATGAAACTGTTTTCAAAAATTTTTAATAGGACTTCATCATCTCTTTCAGTAGTGCTCCAAGCTTCTGAGCCATAAAAAATTACTGCTCTTAATCTTATCAAAATTTTAGATATTCTGATCTTGGTGTTGTGAGATAGAGACTTTGGGCTATTCTCCGAATAGCGGTCCCAAATCATTGAGGCCGAAAATATACCCTAACAGGGTCTCAGTCACTACCGACGACTTAAATTGCGGACTTCTGGCGACTACCACCACCGCCGAGAGTATCTCCTGCGCTGCTATGTGCGGCGTAGGGCTAAACTAGATGGCTGGGACTCACAAGCAAATAAAATGAAGGAAGCTGCAGGAGATGCGGTAGCTGCTACTCTTGAGTCCCAGCCATCTAGTTTAGATGTAGCGGCGCAGGGGTAGTCACCGGAAGTCCACATTTTACATGTGACTGAGGCCCTGTTAGGGTATATTTTTGGGCTCGATAATTTGGGACCGTTGTTCCGAGGATATCCAGACTTAGACTATAGCAGATGTTGAAATGCATAGTATACTTTATTTCCAGATTGTATTCTAGACTGCATTTTCTTCTCTCAGCATGTTGGAGCAGTTAAAGTTTGTACCCAAGTACTTGTACGCTTCCTTTAACAAACCTTATTTTTAATTACAAAAACTGCAGAGCATTTGGTACCTACCCATTGAAGCAAGTTACATATCTCCACCACTGCCGGTCCCAAGCCCGGATGAAAAAAAGAGCAATTCGGTAGGAATTTACAGTTAATGTCTGTTTAACTTAAACTATGCATACAACAAGTGAATTACTATATTACAGAATTAATAATAATTCCTAGCCTAGTGCGCCTAGCCTGGACTAGCCTTAATCTTTTCTTGTCAAACCGCGACACTGGAGAGGGAATCCTTACAAGTTGATATAAATGCAGCTAACCGCTGCTATGTCGATCGCTTCACATGATCACGAACTGTGAAACAAGTATCAGCACAAAACTGGATAAAATTATCCAACAGTTCCTTTGTTAATTTATATTTATACTATATTTGCACAAGCACCCATCATGAATCAGTCTCATTTTTTTTTTCATTATGTTTTGATGATAGCGGATGCCATGCCAGGTCTTTTAAACTGTAAAAGCCAAATTTGTAAGCAAATTATTCAATGCTGGTAGTTGTGGTAGCTTAGTTATTAGTTGTTTTTTCCATTAGAAATGTGTACTAAGTAATGTCCTGGGAAGCCAGGGCAGCCTGCGTAATGTTGACTACATCACCAACCTAGTGCTAATTAATGTGGAAACTTTTTCTTTTTCATTGTCATTCTCATCACCATCACGAAATTAAAAATCGTTATCATTATCTTCGTATTCTTTTTCTGTATATCATCCCTTGA